TGAATTATTACAAATAACGCATGCAAATTCACCTTATCGGTCCACTCGAGAGCAGAGGAAATGTTTTAATGAATGCATTGATACAATAATATCCAGATCATGCAGACTTCTTTGGCAGATGCTCACAGATAACACTTCACAAGAAGTCCCATTCAGTGAATATCTGCCAGTCTCATCTCGTAATTTCTTAAATGAATGCCTCCTCCCTTCACATGTTTAAAACCACAGCCCACAGTCCCTCACGCACTTTATAGATCCCTTTCCAAAGAAATCTATCATTACATCTCCTTTATGGTTCATCATTGATTCTTGTCCAGGATATTTATTATTCTAACATTTTAATGTTTATAATAAACGCCTAAACGCTCGATGATACAGTTGCTATCTGATGAGCTCTGGTTGCCGATACGATGAAAACATTTCCACAGTGAAAGTAAGGAAAAGTATTTATCCATCCATCATCCACCCCTCTGCTCATTAATCACACATTTTCTTTGGTTTGTCTCTTCACTGTTATGACTGTTCATCCAATTAACAACAGTGTGACTCATTAGTAAGAGAGCACCAGAGTGTACTTTACAAATCTCAGCCTGTAATTAGTTTAATACGGTTTCTGCAATAATGTTGAAGGATAAAACAAAAACAAAATAAGTGCAGCAATGTTTGCATGCACTGTGCTCTGACTGATACGTCCCATGTGGCCCAGAGACACATTTTTAATCCGTACTATTTTACGTGATAATTCACCGAATCAAACGATTGAGGGAAAAATTGGAGTTATGTGAAATTTACATCGTGATTATTTCACAATTACTAGTTGACAAACTCAACATCAAACACAGTTATATATGAAGAAATCAGGAGATAACACTTCAGCTCGACACACAGCTCTGTGTTCAGTTGATTTTAAACAGAAGATTTGATGAATTGTTTGATATCTAATATATCTAATATATTTTTAATCAATTGTCTTCAAATATTACAGAAAATAGAATACAATACACCTTGGATATTTGCGTTTGAGGTATTGGTTAGGAACATTGATTTATTTATTATCAACTTAAACAAACTTCTGGGGCAATTTGGGAGGAAAAAGTAAGTTTTAAGGTTAAAAGTCAATTTTTTAGACTGCAGTTTGGTGCCCAGTTTTCTAAAACTGTCACCAGGAGCTTGATATTGATTACATGATTTGTTGCTTATAATATACGAACCGACAGTATATTGGCTGAATGGGAGTGGTACAATTATATTTCGGGTGTCCATTAATAAAGGCACTTGAGCCTATCCAACAAATATCTTTTATCACATTTTTTGGAATCTTTTAAATACATTTTACTCACCTGCTCTGTTTCCTTTGATTTGCTTCCCTTCATTGAGATGATACGTTAACAGCAAAAAGCACAGGATTTTGACCACAGTCATGGTGTCGCACTGACACTTGGGTAATTCCTTTAAAACCAACACTGGTGGCAACTATAGCTAATGCTTGAAATCTTTAGCTCTTTATGTAAAGTCTGTTGGTAAGATCCTTTTGTTTGCTGGTGTAGAAGTTTTTTAAAGAAGCGTAATTACTGTCAGAGTGGGAAACATATTGTGCTGTACTGTACAGAAAGAGAGGGGACATCAGGAGTAATGATTATGTATAAGGGGACATTTAGTCCTATCCTGATTGGCTGGGGGCTGGGCCGTGTGATCGAAGACATTGTGTAAGAGCAAAGGGATGAAGTCACTATCAGTCACTGATAGTGACTAAGCAGTAAAAATGACCTCAGACCCTTCATTCAGACCCTCCTCATGTCCCACCTTTAAGTGTGAGAAATGTCCTTCCTCGTGTAGCTGTTACAGAACTACCAGTTCCAAGCCAAAGCTTAGTCTATGGACCAAACATTTGTGACTAGATGTGGAAATGTTCCTGTGTTTGAACAGGTGAGAAGTAACACTTCATGTACCCAGTGTACTCAGGCTAACAAGAGATTGTGTTCAGAGGTTACCTTTATGTTTATTTTTCATAATCCAACAAGATCAATTATTATCTAGATGAGATTCCACTCAGCATGCTGCTTTAGGAGATTGTTGATCAAATCAAGCCTATCCTCATTTCTCTTTGTAATATCTGTGGTGTTTCAAGACAAGAGAGTGAAATGTACCAGTTGGTCTCAGGTGTATGATGTGAGTAAACATAGGACACAAACAAGGTTATTGGTCACACAATGGTCATCCATCAAAACAAATTAAAAAAAGATATTAACACAAAATCAAATGGTGAGTATGCTAGATGTTTAAGTAGGAAAGTTCCCCCCATCATTCCATATCACACCTCCTGTTTTGGTGTCTGTATTTCTGTCTGCTTGTTTTTATATTATTGTGTCTTCATAGCAACTTCACATTTTTACTGCTTAAGGAGTATATTTACTTTCCAGTATTGCTCTATTTAGAAATAAAACAGAAACCACAAATCGCAATTTGAGTTCTGAATAAATGTCCTATTAACAGTATTCTCAAATTATTAGATTCATAATTGATGCTGTTTAACTCAATATGTCCCATACAATAGTTTCTGAGACTTTTTGGAAATTCAAATGACTGCATGTGGTATTATTTTTGATGCCAAAATCAAATTGCAATCAAATCAACTCAGGCTTATGTGTTCTTATATCAGCTTCTATGAGAAAGGTAATATTAGTTATCCCGCGGCTTTCAATGCATTTACACCATTTTTTAAAATCATAGAGGCCTTTGAATTACCATATTTGTCATTATTGGATGTATTTATGAAATATACCAGTAAAGAACTGTCTCATATCAGATCAGTAGTCACACAAATAAAAATATAGTTTGCAGAAGCAAAAGAGTTATAGTCACAGTTTGTCTTATGTGTTATGTCACATCTGCGGGGGAGCGGTTTGGAAGAGCAAACATGATGAACCTTTGCTTTTCCAAGTACTGTGTGTAAATGCGTGTGTGTGTGTGTGTTTGCTACTGCGTCTCTGCATGCCTTTTTGGCAGCCAATCACTGCTTTTATGAACATATATAGACAAATACAACAGTTTATCCAGGTGGGACAAAAATACAATACTACAAGTAGTACTAAAAAGAATGCGCATGAAGCAAGGCTGCCATATTTGTTTGATTAAGAATAAAAAACCTGAAGGAATACTTTCATATGAGCAAAGGGCTCATGTGCAGTGGCTGGTGGGGTCCATTATAATGTAAAGCTGTTATTATTCAAGTCAAAGAGAGAATGCACTCTGGGAAAGAGCTCTGAAACCATTTAACCACAAAAATACACTCCTCATCCATTCTCCATGAAGTTATGTAAGCTTTTCCAGTCGTCTTCTTTTAAATTTTAATGCTGTGCTTTCTACTCATATTGATAATTGTGTACATTCACTTGTGTGTTTGTGTGCTCTGGACTAAAGTAATGACTGAAGATATTATTTGTAGAATGAATGCCTGGTCTGTAACAACCTGTTTGTGTGTTAGTGTAAGTGTGTGTTTATGTGTGTGTTTGTTTGAGAGCTCTTGTACATCTATCTTTGTGAGGACCAATTTGAGTACAATTTAGAATCAGGACACTTTTGGAAGTGAGGACATATCGTCCGGTCCTCGTCTCTTTAAATGTTCATTTTCGAAAAGGACATCGAACTTTTAATAAAAAATGTTGAAAGGACAATTGAAGATTTATTTTTTCTTATGGAGAACATGTCTCAAACCAGTATGTTCAATTTCCAATAGGTACAATATGAGTTGTTGTTCACAAGTAAAATCTTATCTTCATGAATTCAATTGTTTTTTCACAGACACACATTTCACCTTTCTGGTTCTGTTCTATTCAAGTCATAGTCACAGTGTGATAGTGAGCCAGTGTGCCCGATACCAGAACCCTGAAACTGAAACAGCTAAATTGAATTCAGCCGTCATTCATGTTATTATTTACACCTGTGCTTTGAAACAAAACGTCTTCTCTCAAAAGGCCTTTTTCTCCAATCAGATTATGACTATGCTGGCTGACGATATTTCATTAAGGATGTTTATTGTCATCTTAAAAACATACAACTTTAATATAAAGAGCAAAAATCTAAACAAAATTGGAAAATAATTCTCCCGACAAACACCTTAGCTGACAAATTAACCCAATTTTCTTACACAGAATTACTGGTCTCAAAAAAGCACATGTACATTTCTTTTAAGGAAAATCAGCAGGAAACAATTTTTAGGGATTTTCATGATTATTTTGATGATTATAATATTTTTTGACACTTAACTTCTAATGTTTTCTAAATGAAAGGCACAGTTGTGGAGCATCATATTGAAGAAATTCAACCTGCCAAAGACAAAGATGATGCACTTCTACACAGCCATCTTTGAGTCCATGCTCTGCTCCTCCATCACCGTCTGGTACGCTGCAGCCACAGCCAAGGACTGCAGGCAGGCTGCAGCGCATCATCCGCTCTGCTGAGAGGGTGATTGGCTGCAATCTGCCGTCCCCTCCAGGACTTGTTCGCTTCAAGGACCCTGAAGCGAGCAAGAAAGATTGTAGCCGACCCCTCTCACCCTGGACACAAACTGTTCGAGCCCCTTCCATCTGGCAGGAGGCTAAAAAGTCATAGTTTGGTATTTCAAAAGAGTCATAAAAAATTATAATATAGTATGTTGAAAATAGTCCTGAAATAGTTATAGTATAGTAAATTGAAAAGAAATGTTTGAGGTGTGTAGGTGAGTTCTAACTGAGGGCTAAATCTGAAGATGTGTGAGGTCACAGCAAGGTAACGGAGGTAGAAAGTGGGTTCTTTGCCTACTTTATTCACCGGCTGTCACGGCAGGAGTGTTCGCATTGCAAGATGGTCTCTATTTAGTTTTAAAGGAAATAAACACAAGTATAAACAAACAAATAATTCAAACAATCTTTATTCAACATTAAGATACACCGAATAAGACAAACACCTAATTCAGACGGATAAAGGCATTCATGTTAGGAAACTACCTTAGAAAAAGCAAATAAGCAACAACAAAAGACATACAAACAATATTTAAATGTTACTTCCTGACAGGCTACCACTCTGGACCGAAACACTGAAATCAAAGTGTGTGACAGGGAGAGACAAAATATACACCATGTCACTGACCAGCTGGATAGATTCAGTGAAACAAACACCTTCAACTCCTTTTCAAACAAAATGTAATTATTCTGATTCAAACATAGGCCATACAGGGTCTGAAGTATAATGGGCACTCCCCATGAGTGTTAGGATTGTTCTGGTGAAAGCAGACCAAATGATGCAGTGCATGTTTAATCCATCTCAGAGAAGAGCGTCTCTGTGCTTCTGCCTTTTGTCACATTATGTTGTTTCACAAAAGTAAAACAAACAAATGAATTTAAGTAATTGTCAGGTGTTGTAAAATGACATTCAGTGCAGTGCAATATAATCCCACAATTAGTGTAAGTAATATAGTGTATGTACAAATTAGTGTATTAGTGTAAGTACAAATGCATGTTAAGCAGATATCAACATTAATATCAGCATAGGTCTGTATGCATACTGTTGTCTTTCAGTAACAAGTTTTTTATTCTAAAACATGTCTTAGAAAATTCACACGATAAGAAGCGTTATGAATCACAACAACACAGTTAATAAGAGAGAGAGTCCATTTTACATTTCCAAGTATTATTGTTCCTTTCTTGTGCTTTGTTACACATTATTATTATTATTACACTGTCAGTGTTTGCATGTTGCCCCTAATACAGCATGTTCACTGACACAATTCACCAAGGGTTCCAGTAACATTAGCAAAAAGCTTCTGCTGGAAACAAAATAAACCTGTTTTTTTTTTTTAAATTTGCAGACATTTACATGTCTTAATTATGTCTGTTATGTTAAGTTATGGCTTGTCAATATCAAGGGTGTCCGTAATGAGTACATCTGTAATCCAGCAGTATAACACAAGTAAAGTTTGTGTGCTGCAAAATTATGGAGAAGACTGAATAACTAAGCAATGCCAGGAAAATCATTTAAGGCTGGATTTTCTATATAAACATGTAATAAAAACTCCAACGCCGTAAGCTAGATAAAGCAATCAGTCACACGCACATGCAAAGGACGAAGTCAAACAGAAGAAGGAAGTCCGTCCATCAAACACATTAGTTGGCTAAAAGTTATATAGATTACAACATTTCCACATTAAATCAACTTTTTAAAAAGTGCTATACATATTAAATACGTGTTGGTTAGGTAGACAGTAGTAAAAATAAAAATGCTGTACAGAAACTTGGCAAATACTTCTAGTGAGAGGAAAAGATCCTAGTTAGGAAATAGGAGATTATGAACAATACTGCATGACTACAATGTAGAGGAAACACTCCATAGTAGGAACATCTTGATGTCTAAAGAGAACATGTTTATCAAGCTACTATAATATTTTGAAATATGAAAGAGCCCCAGGCAGATAAAACCGAGGAACTATAAATAGACCAGAACTTTTACAAAAAGAGACGTTAAAGGCTTCATAAAACTCATGCATATTTTATAAATGACTATGAAATTGTGTAGTCAGATGCATGCTTTGTATTAAATATGAACTGCAAATTTGCTCTGAATTTTTAAATAACAAATGTATAAAACTGCTTCATCTAGATGACATTTTTTGCCTTTTTGAGGGTGAAAATCAGCTGCGTTGTTGCTTCGCACTGCTACCCTTGTTCTAAATTTTAACTCATAGTTATCATTTCATATTTGTCCTGGACGTTGTTCTCCTCCTGTTTTTCAGGCTCGGGATGGTGCAACTCAATGCAGAGGAAGTAAACACCTGCTCCTACTGCTCCGCCTACCATAGGCCCCGCCACAGGGATCCACCACCAGCAACCTCCAGCTCTGCAGAGAGAATCCATACATATCAATGAATATGACAAAATGCAATTACCAATGTATTTACTATTATTAACACAGCATCCTGCATTAATTAAACACTTCAAATCTTAAACCCATGCCATACTGGGACACTCCACAACTAAGTCATCCATGTCAGGGTCAAAAATACTCTGCGTTGACAATAGAACACTATATCCTTTTAAAACAGGGGGAGGCAGCTTTAAGGATGCATGCCACCATTGGCACGCGGTAGCTTAACCAACTGTACACGGGCAATAAGTGTTTTTTGGAAATGTTGAAAAGCACTCTTGCCTGCATGTCTTTTACAGCAATTGGCAACTGTTATTTTCACCAGTTTTGCTGATTTGTATCCCAGACGGCATACTATGACTTCAGATTTTTTTACAACATTTGTTGACAAAACCAAAATGATGTGCCTCTCAAAATTCTCCTGTTCCGTTTTTGAAGTCTATTATGTAAGGCTGCGTTTTTATGTGGTGAAACTTTTAAGTATACTGTCTCTCCAATTTGTATGCTTATGTTAGTATCATCCTACCAGAGGTGAGTTATATGCAGTTATCCCAGATTACAGTAAAGTCTTAAGGAGCTCTGTGTGTCAGACCAACTGCATGTGTCCTTATTTCTCACTCTGGCCAACCTCAAACAGAGCCAGAGGGAGATTAGAGTCCTGCTGGTCAATGTGGCTGTTAGGAACCTTTACTTCGGGAGAAAGGGCTTCGGTTAACAGACCTGATACACAGGCCTGGAAGTAAACAAGCGCCTGAGCGGGTCATCTCTCTCTTCTGTAGGCACTCAGGAAGTAGACTAGAGAAGGGAGGCGGATAGATTATAGACTTTAATCTATGGTCACCACTAAGATGATCAAGCCAGGAGACAGTGGGTCACATTGACGCCATGTAGACAATGCATGGAGCCAAGTGCCACCCTCCAATGGATTTGACTGCATTTGTAGCCGCTGTATTTATATCATAAATGTAAAAGATTATGTCAGATTCAGCACACAGTTGCATGATATGAACATAGCACCAAGGGCTTACATGTGCATTAAAGCAATCTTGGTATATATCTATAAAGCTATATGAGCCATCTGGTGATAGTTACAACTGTGACATAGAGACAGAGAAAAACAGTATAGCAAGCCTTTAGACTGCCTTTAATTCTTCTTTATATTATGTCATCGGGTCAAATAAGTCAGATCAGGAACTCCTTTTTTAAAAGCACTCTGCTTTTATAAAATGGCATATTTATCCAAGTTAGATTTATTACTAAGTTTATTCTTAATGCATGTCAGCAATGGCGTGCACAGCCACTTTTGAGCGCAGGGGTTAAAAATAAAGAACCAGAGCAGGCCCAGTCACAAACAGGGCACTGAGGGCAATGACAAAAACAGCATAAATATATACATGTCAACACTTGAGTAAAAGAAGCTTTGATTACCTAGTTAAAAAAGTCAATTATGGCAGTGAATGCTATAGAAATAAGGTTTCTGAGATCCATCATCAAGCCAAAAAAGGTTTCAATTTGTAAGGTTGTACATCTGTAAACGCCTCCAAATTTGAGAGGCTATACAGAGAATATCTGTTGATGTTCAGCTCAGCAACTTGGAGGATCTGGAAGCTCTTAACCTCCAGTGTCCCATTGGCAGAGTTCATCGGTTAGTGAGAAAGCTCCTCTGTGGAAAGGTGCCAGGGGTGGTTGAGATCAACTCCTGAAATGCGACCGGCTTTGGATATTTTAGGGTGCAACAGTTAACATGCTTTATTAGTGTCACAGAGATTTTGTAAAAAAGAGCGAGAACTGGCACAAGAGTCAGACCGACTGACCGAGTCACTCGACCATTGTCGTCCTCAGAGCTTGGCAAAGGTGACCAAAGGAATGCGTTCCAACTTCCCAGGGGATCACACTACTTTGCCTCAGTGATAATTAAAGCTTAAATCATGTAGGTTGTTATTCGTACTTCTACGTACAAAAAATAATAAAATGTACTTTGTATATAAGCCACGTAATCATGAGCCAGGACATGCAGGGCTGCCTCTAAGGAAGTCAGGTGACATAGTATAAAGAGAGACAAAGTCTACTAGGGAGGAGGTTGGGATGGATGGATAGATGGATGGATGGGTAAAAAAACAAACATTTTGATTCCCAACTCGTCAAATACGGCAGAATAGTCAGTGGCCTGTACACCTCTACTGTAGGTAGCCCTCTAGTGTTAGGACAGCGTGTCAGTTTCCGCTCATTACATGAATAGTGTCTTTTGAAAATCCACTTCCCACTTTACAGGAAACATACAATTTCCGCTCTTTACATGCATACAGTTCAATATACTTCAGATTTAAGTTTACTCAGGTTTTAGATTTACTGAGGCAACAAAACTACTTGGTTAGGTTTAGCCAACTAGAGTACTTGATTTGTTACGTTGTTTGATATCACTTGCTCTGAACAGCTAATAATGACAGAGATGTATTTACAGTGCAGTTAGTTGAAAACCCGGTGCATCTTATCCAGATGCTAAAGGGTGCCTTGTGCGTCAGTATCAGACCATGAGGGGCACTGACCAAGCAACAGTATTGGATGAGTTGGGAGTTGGTACTGGTTGAACAAACATGTTCGTGTTCTGTGTGAAACCAAGTCAATGTTGACATATTGTACCTCACTTTTGTTTCGAATCTTGCCTACTTAAGCAACGCCATGTGAGTATGATCTTTTCCTAAACCTAACCAAGCAGTGTTGTTAACTAAACAGGTTCTTCACTGTAGGGGCTTATGCAGTCGCACTAAACGCTATTGTTGGTGGACATAACTTTTCAAAAGATATTACACCTACTTTTGTAGAGGGATACATTGAATCAAGATACTGGAAAGAAGACTTGACTTCAGAAACAACGTTTTAGCCCTGCACAGACAATCGAGAGGTCATACCACGCTTATCAGCCTATATGTGTTTGTAGATTCTGGAAATGTTCCAGGAGGTATCATAGTATACAAAGTCTGCTGTTGTGAGCCATTTAGTTTATATACATGTAGCATGACAGCTTTGTTTGCATTCTTGACAAAGTCCAAAGTAGAGGCCCTCTCCAGTTTGCAACATGCAGACAGTATCTGAAATGTACTTTGTGACATTAAAATGACACCTTTTTCTTCATGTGATATTATCGCTTTTTGTTTTTTTAAATTGCGATCTCACTTCAAAATTGAAGTGATCGGGCATATCCAGTTGTCTCTCAGTGAAATATGACACTTAAAACTGTATATAAATGATATAACTTGTTTTTGAAAAAGAAAAGAGGAATCTTAATGAATACCTCTGGTTTGATGAAATTAAATCAGTATGTTTGTACACTAAGGAGAGAATAAAAGGGAAAAAGAGAGACTGAGGAGCTCAGGAACTGACGAATATAGAATTGTGTCATTTGAGTAATGAAGCATTGAATATTTCATGTGTGCATGTATTCTCTCCCTATTCACTTAAATCCCAGAGCCCTTTTTCAAAATGCAGGAAATACATTAAATATTCATTCAGATTGTCAAGAGAGCAGCGATGGAGCTACAAATGCTGCTCTTCATGTGGGATAGAAAAGAGAAGCCACTTGGTTGAACTGAGTTTCTTACATAACACATCTACTACGTCTCAGGCAGTGGAGAGAGTGTGCGCAGCAGTAAATAATGGACGCCTAGTTCTCTCAGGCAGGCGACAAAAATGGCTTTCATCTTTCTGATAATAATCCCAACATTGCCCTGCTGGATATTAGAGACTTTTAAACTCTTTCTTTTATATTTTCATCACTGTTCTTTATGTGGAAAAGGCACCTTTTTGTTTCTTTTTCAGTAAAATTACCTAAATACGTCCATCCCCCACCCAGCTACAGCCGTGAAGAACCGTGGGCCCAGGTCTCGTGCCGGATTGATTGGATAGCCGCAGTTCAGACCCATGGACACTCCAATGGCCATGATGATCAGGCCAATGCACAGAGGCTCCATGCCTTTTGGAGCACCGATATTCCGCTTGTCAGTGATGGCCAGGATGCACAGGATTAGTGCTGCAGTTGCAATTACCTTGAAAACAAAAGCATCAGACAATTAGCACAAATCAGTCATTTTCACTAAATTCAAGACTACAACAACATTTTAAAATGAAGTGCACAATCTTAGAATATAGACATAAAAGAACATAACAAATCACTCTTTTTGGTGTTGTTGTTTTTGAGTTACCTCAGTGACCTCTGCCCTCTGTTATTTTGTATAAGCTTTTAAGGGGCTTCCCCTTTCCCCTGGTTTCAGTCTGTATTAGGCAGCTTTACTACACAGCGCCATATGGCTATATATTTCAAATTAACATATTATCTAAACATTTTTATTTTGTTTGATTTGACAGATTCTAATTTGATCATTTAAAGGCAAATGGTCTGTGATCCAAATGCCCATTATCAAATGTCACCATGTTTCTGATGGTGTAGCTGCTTTGTTTATGTCAGTAATGCATATAAAAATGGTTTAAATCTTGGCTTTATTGAAATATAATCAGTTAACAAACATAATGCTTTTCATCTGAAATACAACCTCTTATAAATGTGAATGTAGCTCAAATTAATATGATGAAGGGAAAAATACTGATTCGATCCTGTCTTCACAAATACACAAACTAACATTTGTATCTCGCCTCGTACACTTTCATAACAGATGGTAGCTATTCTCAGCATTGGAGCAGAATTGTTCATACATCAGCAAACAACTCTCATGTCCATTTATGCTTACAATCACCCACGACTGCACTGAATGCACACTCCCATGCATCTCTGTATGCTCTAGTGGATTCCATTTACACAGAATGCTGTTGGAAAATGTCATTGAGAACATTAATTCCAAATAAAAAAAGAGCAAAACCATCCAAAGATTTTACTTTCATGTTATCAGACAGCTTGTATAAACTGGTTAAAGTGTTGTTATCCACGCGTATATCAATGTATTTTCCAGGGGAAAATTACTTATAGATTGCAAGTTAGCCTTAAGCCCCACCTGATCTACAAACCCATTCAGGACTGTGAGATGTTTTGCTGGATAAGATGCAAATATGTTGGCCGTGGCATTTGCACCAGTAACAGCAAATTCTCCATTGGTATATTCCATCAAAGCATCTGTAGAAAAGAAAATACAACAAAAGATAAGCAACTGTTTACATAGTTGTTAGAAACAAGCTCCTCCAATATTTGTGTTTTATTACTCATAAGTCAGACATAAAAACAGTATTTAGATAAAATAGGGCAATTTCTTTGCAGGAGCATGTCTCAAGTCTTTTATCAAACTCAGAGGGTTCTCACATGAAGCAGGATTATAGCTGGATAACCTCACTTCAGTCAATGTTTCACACTTGATAGGGTTCTGGGTTTCCTCTGAAACGTTATCTGGATAACCTAATAATCCTTTCTGAGACAGTTCTCTTGTAGTGATGACATTTACACATTTACACCCACCATAATACAACCCATAGACAGCACAGGATCCAGCAAAAGCACCCAGGAATTGTGCCACCACATACACAGGGAACTTCTTCAGAGGAAGCTTCCCCAGGATCACCATGGCCAGAGAGACTGCTGGGTTCACGTGGGCTCCTGGAACAACGCAACAAAAAGAGATGAACAAAATCTAGTAACCACAACAATAAATGACAATGACAAAAACTACCAAGAATGTTATGACTCAAAAATATTTATATAATTTGGGCTGCAATTTAATAATGATTTCATAATCAGTTAATCTTATTCCTTTATTCCACACATTTATCTTCCTTGTCAAAACTTGGTACCTACATTTCAACCAATGCAACTCTACTGCCAACAGTTTGGTGAGAGATTCAAGTATGTTATTACAGCAGCAGCTAATTTAACTTTGAGCTGGTAAACTCACTTCTTTGTAACTCTACACCTACAACTTGTTTTTTCATTTTCAAACTTGTAATCATCAGATCCAACGATGCTGACTCAGGTGACATTACTTGAGGTAATTTGTCAGATTTCACGAAGCTTACATTAACATATGCAGCAGTACTCCCCAAGACTTTTGACCTTTTGTGTGAAATCAAGTTATCCTTTAAATAATAAATTATAAAAATAACAGCCAATCATTTTTTTTCTGTCAAATTACTCATTTAATTAAATTGCTAATCATTTCAGCTCTAAAATCTAGAGAAGAATTACTTAGCAAAGCATTTTGAAAGTCTCTTGTCTTCTCTCACCAGATAAAGTAAACTTTCAGTTCAGTTCAGTGGAATAAAACAAAAGCTGTCTAATCATTTAGTGCCTGTGTTCAAACCCTCTAGAGCTCATTCATTTCAAACTTTCAGGATATTCTCAAACAAAGAGCCCTGGGTTTGTATGCCGTCAAATTGGTTCTGTTTTCCTACATTCTATATTGTCTTTAAGAGGCGTGTTTGAACACATTCCAGTCAAATGTTACTGGGCTGTGATGACAGTGTGGGGTCGTTTATTTAACACTCTGGGTTCTTGGCTTTGACCCCACTGTGGTAACACCACTGGGGGTATCAGCCATGCGCCCATTGTTAATCTCCCCGTCCTGTTCACAAACACTGACCAAGACAACCAGCCAGACCGGTCTGTCTGAATTGCATCTGACATAATCTGCCTGAATCTGCTTAAGGCACACGTAGACTGCAGGTCATTAGAGTGACCATGATGTGTCACACTTACGGTACACTGTCATCTAAATCTGAGACTACAAAGTGAAAACAATTGTGTTTTCGTCTCCTATGGGGCTGTCCTGCCAGGGAAGCCGAGTACGCCAGGCTTGTCACACCTGACCCCCCTCTCTCCAGAGACCCATGCCCCAGTAAAGCTCATTAGTCCAATACCTATGATCATCTTCAGAGATGTCGTTGGACAGAAGCTTCCCACTGAGCTGTGGACCCCGGGGCTGAATGGCCCAGTCATGCAGCAAAAGCTCTCCATATATTAACCTCCCTGTCCTCAGGCTGTTCTGCTTTTCCTCTGAAGCTTTACAACTCTTCTCATTAAACATGTAGCACGAGTAACACTCTATAGTCGGGACGATCATCAACAACAGCCATCATAAACTAAATGGAGATTGAAATACTGTTTCACTCCTCTTTTTTCACCATTGTCAATCAAAGTTAAATTTCTCACTGAATAACTTTAAATTTCAAGAATAACACGATTTAGTTTCCCCAAATCCATAATGGGCTAGAAGTAAAACACATGACACTGGAGAATTTGTGCCACCCTGAGACTGTCAGGTTTTTAAGGAATAGTTCAATATTTTAGGGAAACATGCTTATTTGCTTTCTTGCAAAGAGTTAGATGAGAAGATTGAAACCACCCTCATGGTTGTATGGTAAATATGTAGCTAGAGGCAGTGGCCGGTTAGCTTAGCTTAGCACAAAGACTGGAAACAGATAGCCTGGCTCCTCCAGCACTTCTGAAACTCCCTTATTAACATGTTATATCTCTTTTGTTTAATCAATACAAAGAAATGTGTAAAAATGATTATATACTCTAAGCCTATAACATTTGTTGGCCGGGATCAATAACTGTCTCCTGTGGGTGCCTAGCAACTCCTCAGAGCCAAACATTAATGCTGACACAAAACCCTAGTAAAACTGTGAATTATTGTTTTTACACTAAACAAACAAAACATTGTTCATTAATGAGCTTTACAGGCGCTGGTAGTGGTAGCTGTTTCTCCCTGTTTCAGTCTTTATGCTAAGCTAAGCTAACTGTCTGCTGGTTGTTACTTCATATTTAATGGACAGATTTGAGAGAATAAGTGTATTTCACACTTTCACTTTCCAACGCTGATAGAAATGACCACACAACAGTCTATGGGCCTGCACAACGCAACCTCCAACATAATGAATCCCTTGACTGTTGATTAATTGACACTCACCATTTGGGCTCAGCAAGCTAATGAGAAGCACTGTGACATTTCACAACTATCAGTCCCTATCATTGCTGGCAACGCGCAGAGGGCTCTTCTTGCTGTAATCCTGGAGGAATGCAACCGAAAAAGTCCCATTTGGACATCAGGACACAATATCTCCAGAGATTAAGCACACTGACACCACTCTTACACTGAAAATCCTTCCATTAGGGACAGTAGAAAACATAGTTTACTCTCCAGAAAAAAAAATCTCCACGTGTATCAGTAATTATTGACTCCCAGACCAGAAAAGAGGAGACTATATGTTGAATTTACTCCATTATGTAACACTGCAAGTCCATACCAAAGGTCTATGGTCTTCATAAACCATTACTTTATCTAGATCAGTGGGCAGTTATATCAATCATAATTGTGCTGTAAGAGCAAAGAGACGGTCAGACATCCACGACCAAAGATCGCATCTCCACCACAGACAAACGTTGACCTTTGTTACCAGCCTGCGTTAGTAGCTTGCTACAGGCCGATAATAATCTTTTTTTGTTTTTCTTCACTGAGAACCCCAGAGACCTGATAAAAATACTTAATTAATCAGAAAGCATCTTTGGCATTAATGTCAACATGCTTGCAGGTATATCTGAAACAATTAGTCACTCAACTATCTTAATAATTGTTTTCTTATTAAGAAAATGTGCCAAACATCCTTTCAATGCAGCCTCTCAACTGTGAGAATGTGTTTTTTGCTGTCTTCATATCCCTGTAAACTGAATGTCTTTGAAAGCAATATATAAATGTCACCTTGGGCTTTTGGAAACTTGCACTTTTACACCATTTTCTGGAATTTATTGAAAGATGAATCAATTACTGTTCTGAATAATTGATAATGGAAATAATCATTAGCTGGAAAGAGTTGAGGATGATTTAGTATTGTAATGAATTGAATGAATGAAGCTGGGCATGTGTACATACACAGTGTGCTACTTTTACCTGACACTCCCCCTGCCATGTAGACAGCCATCATGACTCCCAGAGAGAAACCAATGTGGATGGTCAAGGGCTCCCCAAGAGCCCCTTTACTCAGGACCGTCTGGGCCACTGAACCACATCCAAAGAGCTGGAACACAGACAATAACAAAAACACAAAGGGTGGAGGTAGAAAGACCCATTGTTTTTAATTATTCCAATTATAACAGTCATTAACACTAGCACTCTTGTCTACCGACAGCCTCTGACTGCCAAAAACAATTTGCCCTTCTTGGAGCCTGGAAAAGAAATAATGAATCCCCCATTTATTAGATCAAAGGCAGAAGTAATTCAGACAAAAACAAAGTGTTGGTAGGAGAGCAGTTGTCCAACAATAAAAAGAGGCTGCTGTGGAAGCTGCATCTCTTTTCTGACATGGCATCAGGCATTAACGTGGACTCAGAGAGGTGACAGGTGGAGCTCAGGGGTGATAGTTGGAGGCGAAGACAATCCAGACTGCCATAATAAATAAAAAGCTAGTAACTGTTTCAAGGAAGGATCAGGAAACATTATACTCTGTACAGCAGATCATTTGCTATACCTAATTTGATTCCATGTTTATTTTTTCCATAACCTAATAACTGAGAAACAATGACTGATTACAGTTATAATGAATCATCTTTTATGTTACTTTGCACTTCTGGAGGAGATGTGAGGACGAAAAACAGTCCCACATCAATCCCATCTTGTTATGATTGTCAGGAGCAAATTACAGCTGCAGCACATCAAAGAGAAAGTCTGTTATTCCCACAATATACTATCTGTTAATAGAGACGTATGAGAGACAGCAGTCCCTGGAGACGCAGTTTGACACCTTATTAGCATACTGGTTCAAAGCTTTAAAGCGGCTGTTTAAGCTGGATGACAGGTGCAGAGGGAGGTACTCACTATCAGGACAAATATCCCTAGAAATTCCGCCAGGAACTCCTTAAAGATGTCCCGCCTCAGGCCAAATCTCTCCTTCATCTTCCTCTTGCTCTCATTTTCCATTTTTTTTCCCCCTGCGGCTCCTTGATGTCTTCCTCCGATCAGAACAAACAGCTAACAACTATGAGGGAGTCTCAGTGTGATTGTCGTGCAGGTTGCCGCCTCCCACTCGGTGCGCTCGGGCCGTGCAGGGCTGACAGGCACGTTAAGCGTTCTGCATCTATTTCCCTTTCTAACCACAAGGGGTCTACTTTCTATTATATAAATAAAGCCTCCAGATTATTGCCCTGGCATCCACAGCAGTTGCTGAAAGTGTGGCTGACGCCGACCGGTTTATATACATTGCCGTGTAAACAGTGGAAGTTGATTTACGCGATTTGTATAATTATTAAGTAGTTTATTTACGCAATTATAATACATTGCATTTACTGTAATTTCGGGTACCTTGTGTTAAACTCTTTGCTGTTTTGCTTTTGTTCTACTCATGATGATAAACGAGCTTTTGTTGTTGTAACGTGACCTGACCCGGAAGTTTAAGCAGCTATTTTGTTTTTCAGAAATAGGTGAAAACGGCGAACTGTTATTTTCCCGTCTGTTATTCTACTGCTGGTCTACCAGGCGATCACGGTAACATTGATTAAGATAACTTTATTTAGCACTGTTATACTTGTTGTAGGTGATGAGACACACAGTATTTGTTTCTTTGTTGTTTGTACATTAAGCTGTTTTGTGTCTTCTGGTTTTCACGGTGTTCCGTGAGAGGACAATAATAAACGTGAACATCAGTAAGAAGCGTGGACTCTTTTATGAATACATGTTTGATTTACATTTCTATACATATTTAAAGTATTTTTTTAAGTACTTTTTTTTTATCAGATACACAAATAACATAAATTGTTTGGCATATTTAAATGTTTTTTTAAGAAACAACGTGCTTTGGCAATAAAACTATGAAATGTAAGATAACATATTCATCCCAAAGGATATTTTAGTAGATCAATAAACTCACAGCCATGAGACACTGATGTCCAATATGAAATGTGAATAAATTAAAATATAGGAAGACAACTCTCACTTAGGATTGACGGCTTTAAAGTCTCATATGCACCCATTACTAACCATTAAACCACCATCGCCATTTAATTAATATTAAGCAGTTTAATCCTTCCCTTATTATTGACGGTGAATATATTACTTATAGCTGATTTTGTTTTATTGTCCATTCAGAGGTTCAACTCACACTCATTTAGGATGATTTAGAAGTTTTAAAATATAAACTTGGCTCAGTGCTAATTTCTGTTTTAAAAAATGTGAAAAACTTTCGGGTCCATGAAATGATTATTTTTCGAACAACAGTCTGTATATTTCAAACAGAACTTCATGTGGATTTAATTTATTAAATTGCTGATGATTGAGCCCCTACCATTTCAATATAGGCAAACATAATTCCCTCAATTCAGATTATATATGTACTTGTTAGTTTTAGCTGATAATACATCAATTATGTGTAGCTTTGCCTCATTTTGGTATTTAAAACATTTCAAATAAAAAACTAAAATATAAAGTAAATAAAAATACCAATTCGCCTGTATCGGTCTGTTTAAATGTTTAAATAATGGTGGTAAAATGTATTGCTGAATTCCAAAAGAAAAACAAATTCGCCATATATATATATATATATATATATGGCGAATTAGTTTTTCTTTTATATATATTTCAGACTTGATGTGAGTTGGTGTCAGTTTTCACGCTTTGTCTGCCTTTAGGCTATTGTTGTAGAGTCTTTATATAATGGCCTCTCAGATGTTGAAGTTACAACACATAACCAAGTAGCCTATGTGATCAATACTGCCAGAAAACAACTGAGCCAAGACGTCCCTGACGTCGTACCTGCATATTTTTGCTTTGTTGTTTATTCAACCTAAAGGCCTGAAAACAAAGAAGACGAAATTACAAATAAAAAAAATCCACATTTACATATCTAATGGATCATCTTTTTCTTTATCATTATTTTTTTAACCAACTTCCCAGAGCTCGTTGCATTTTTGGAATTTGTTTTTTGTCATATCAAAATGTTTTCTCACTCACCTGTCTTCATGAAGCTACTGTGTCATATTTCCATTTATCTTGCTTTGCTCATTCCTTCTTGTTACAATCCCATATAGCTTATTAAACCGCTCTTTGTAAATACTGTTACAACTTTGAATATGTGATATCTGACTTGTTCGAGGCCCGGTCCATCCAACAGAGGGAGCTCCATGAATACATTTGAACTGCCGCCTCTAAAGTTTGTCACACCGGTATGTCTTATCTGCCGTTCACTGTGCTTTGTGAAAAGGTGAGGCGACAGGCTGAGGATGGGATGTTTTGAATGCATTAATCAATGTCACTGTTTTAGACACGTCCTCTTTGATGTGAAACAGACACGTTGAGAGTGTCGCCCATGCTGTGAAAAAAGGGTGATGTGCTGATGGAGAAACAGCATCCTCCGGGAATTTGCAAATGATGGTCCTGCATCTGTCTCCACACTCCTTTGTCCTGTCAAGAGGCTCCGATTATGAAATCTAGAATGCAAAGGCCCTTCCACTGATTGAGTATCAACAATCCTGAGCTTGTTTTAAAACTACATTGTTATTCCACTGACCACAGGTAGATTTCTCTAAACCACAAATAAACTTCTGATTTGCCCTCTGACTGTTACATTCGTGTGAGGAAATCGGGATGTGCTTTAATTCCTTTTCTGAGACAAGATCGCCACAACTAATTGGTGGATGTTTATTGAGAGGTTTAAAGGAGGCGCTGTAAGGAATTATCACCTGTAAGACAAATCTCTGCCAACAACACCCCATGCAAGTAGCAGCAATCCGTCTAGTCCGCATTTACATAACATCTTAGACCATGGGGAGGTTGTGTTAGGCAAATAAAGACCACAGGGTGATAGAGAGCCGAGGAAAGTAGTTTGACACCTCTATGTCACTTAGGAAATGGTTAATGATGATGTAAGAATGTGACTTAATATCTTTTAGTAAAGAGTTAATGACTATATGCGGAGAACTTGTTTTTAACTAAGGTCAAGGATGAACTTTCAGTCTCAACTCTTATGCCAACATGGGCGAGAAAGCCTTATAGTGCTCAGAAAAATGGAAATTTGAACAACGAATGAAGATCGTTTGATACCATCAAACGTCCAGAACAGCTACTAAATGGACGTTGTGAGATTTTTTTTTGCCATAAAAACATGAAGGCTTCATAAGACTATTATGCTGCAGTACGTTTTTGGAACTATAGTCTGTTTTACTAAAGGGGCCCAGTTATAAACCCTTAACAAATTGGTCCAACGTCATTTAGAGCCTCATTATTTAGTTCAGATAGCATAATACACAATGTTTAGCTTTACTATTTTATGTCGCAGCGTTTTCTTTTTTTTTGTAAAACTACTTTAAAAAAAACGTCGGCTGCTGGTTGGTGAAAGTAGTGGAAACGGAGTGTACCGGGAGTGTTGGGTGGGTGGGGTGGAAGTGTTTCTCCTCCTCAACACGCATGGCTGAGGTCGTTTATGTAAATGCATGAATTTCATTTTCAAAAGGACAACCCTTTTCTTTGCCCAATGAAAATGAACTGCGGCTGACACCTGGCTATAAACCCAGGAAGAAACCCAAAGTCCTAATCAGAAATCTGTTGAAAAAACCCCGAGAGGCGCAGCAGGCAGACGAGTGGAGAGACAGCCGCGATGACTTCCAGTACGATCGAGATCCCCGGAGAGGTGAAGAGCGACCCCGCTGCTCTCATGGCATCCCTCCAGCTGATGCCCTCACCGGTGCCCAACGCGGAGATCAAGTACACCAAGGTCTGTTTCTCTCCACACTCTCGCCGCCGATCGACTCGCTTTACGCGTAACGACGCAGATTCTGCTCGAAGATGTCGGATCATGTTTGTATCTTTAACTACAACTTTTTTTGACTCAACTCTTCGTGTGTCAGCATTAGACCGTGTAGCTCACTCAGAGCTGGAGCTTAAAACACTTCTCCTGACTGAACTTTTTCACTGATTAACTGATCATTGTACGTTTTAAAGTCCCGATGAGTCTCTTCTGCGTCCACGTGCTTATTGTATCTCTGGATTAAATAATCAATAACCCCTGGACAAGCTAATTTAAACTAAATAAATTGATAACAGACTCTTATAAACAATGTTGTTTTTTTGTGTTTTAATGGTGTCAGGTAACTTGACAAAAAAGTATATTTTTACATTTTCAAATGTGAGTCATTGCATGAAACTGGGACTATCATAAAGACTGATACTTGATTTTGCATATAATTTGGCTCCTTATAATTGTTACAACAGCTTTTAGGGGGCACGATAACGTTGTAAAAAGACATGTGATAGTTTGAGCTAGTTTAGGAATGTGTCTTAAAGTTTATACAACAATGAGTCACGAGGACAATTTTATTTTACTACATCATATTTTTTAATATGTATTCCACATTGCACCTGAAGACACATACTAACGTCATTCCATGTTACTGCATGAAACGATAATAAAAATGTATTTTTCAATTCAAGTTGAAAGAAAGTAAAATTGCGATATTGCAAGATTAGAGCCAAATCTTTCTCTTTATTTCAAATTTTTCATCATGATTATAATGTTTCACTTCAATAGTTTTGTGGTATCCACTGAGTCGTAAAGCTCTTAATTTAATTTGTCTTTGAATACTCACAATGATTGGTATCAGTGGCCTCGGCTGAGTTTGTGGGCAAACAAAACAGCCCAAATTCTTTCTGCCAGGTCTTGAAAGTCTTTTCTTTCAAAAAATCAACAGACATTTTAGTCAAGTCCAAAGAATTGGCAGTAATTTAAGGCGTAGTCTCATTGTTACCAGCAAGTTTGTTCAGTGAGTAAATGTATTAAATTCAAAATACACGTCAAAGAAGAAATGTGGTATCAGAGCAGTTTTTGCATTGTCGTTCAGTCAGAAGTGTGTGGGTGGGAGAAAAAGGATGCAGGAACAGCTGGAGAAAGGAGCTTGAGTCAAACAAAGAACTCTATTTGAGTCACGAAACAAATCATGTTGCAGATACAAAAATATG